CAAATTACGAATGAAGTAAAATAAGCAATAAAAAAGTCAAAGGCAGAAGTCTCCTACTCGGATGCCAATACAAGAGCTAGTCTGAATTATCACTAGAACTTAAGCATGTTGAGAGAACTGCAGCACTCTGTTTGGTTGCTACATACATAGCACACATCTCAGCAGTGGCATGTTAGGATGTCAAAGGATGTTTTAGGGAGGGAAGGGGAAAGGGGGGCACAGGTTTAGGCTACGTTTACCTTATGAGCTTATTCCACATGCAGAAAAGTCAGCTATGAGCTTTACTTCTAAACAGAACTGTTGATGTTTCCAAGGAAGGGCACTGTTTGCCACGAATTTCAAGAGAAGTTGAGGTGACACACAAATTACGTACACAAAATTGAGTTGATAATCTGAATTAGGATTTGGAGGTTATTTTGAAATTCCAAGTATGATCCTCAAAATGTTTTTGCTGGTGCAATTTGTTGCTGTCAACAAATTTTTTGAGAAGTCGACTGCTCCAGTGCCTGAGGAGAAGCACACTTCAAGGTAGCTGTTTCCAGCCTCAACAGCCCATGTAGACTCATGGAAGCATGGATTTCAGCATTAGCAGCAGCCCTCCCTGCAGCACAGCCATAGTCATAAAACAGTGGCACTGTGCAGAAACTTCACATCTTTCACAGGACTGGAAATGGTGCTGCCCGTTCCAGATTTCACTTCTACTAAGGATTTTGAATGAATAGTGTTACATGAAAGTTGGTTCCAATCTAAATGAGTTATACTCATGTTGTAAATAGCTAGTCCAAAAGCCCTGTATATAATCTGTGAAGGCTGCTCTAAAAGTAATACCTCCTATTTTATTATGTTGGCCTGTGACATCAGAGATGGATGATGGTGATGTGGCCTTTTCACCAATATTCCATTCCTTTTTGCTGCCACGTGACAGAGGGCTGCAGAGGGACAGTCTGACCAATTGGTGTCTGACATGGAAGTGCGGATGAAGCAAAGGTGCGTCACTGAATTCCTCTGTGTGGAAAAAATTACACCCACCAGTATTCGTTGACACTGAATGTTGATGGAGACCAAAGAGTGGACGCAAGCACAGTAAGGCAGCAGGTGATGCGTTTCAGCAGTGGTGATGGCCATGTGAAAGACAAGCCACGTTCTGGATGTCCGTGAACAGCTGTTACACCATGAAATGAAGAGCCTCTCAATCAGCTCGTAAGTGCAAATCAGTGGATTATTACCAGAGGATGGTACAGAGCTGAATATTGGCTTCAGTGCTCTGGGAACAGTGATGGCAATGTTCAAATACTGCAAGATTTGCACCAGATAGGTCTCACAAAGGCTCACACAGGAACAGAAAGGACATTTGTATGCAAGTTTCTCAGGACCTATTGAACCAATACAAGGCTGAAGGTGACAGCTTTCCAGAGCACATCATTACCAGTGACAAGACATAGTATCACCACTATGAGCAGGAGTCAAAACAACCCATGAATTCCCCATGGAAGAATAGTTCCAGATACAGACCTCAGAGGGTGTGTACTTTCTTTTAGGATACAAGTGTGCACTTTCTTTTAGGATACAAAAGGGGTGGTCCTTCTGGATTTCCTGGAATCTGAAGAAACTATAAACTCTGACCACTGTAAGCAGGAAAGCGCAACCTTGCATAGCATGGTCAGAAAAGAAGACAACAGCAGGCCCCATAACCAGTTTGAAGACCACAGAGCACACTGCCAATCTTGGCTGGACCATCCTACCATACCTCCCTTATAGTCTGGATTTGGTGCCTTCTGACTTCTACCCGTTCAGGCCAAGGAAAGGAGGACTGCACGGCAGACAGCAGTTACGCCCTCATGGCAGCTGTGAAGCAGCAGGTCATCTCTGCTGGTGCAGATTTTTATGAGCATGGCATACAGGCTCTTGTTCACTGCTAGCAAAAACACACAGCTAATGGTGGTATGTTAAAAAATAGCATTTTGTAACTGAGAATTTGCTCTGTGAAATAGTGTTACCTGGTCTTTGTACTTCAATACAGCAAATACAAGAACATTCAATATAGCAAAGAGTGAGAATACGCCATTTCTTCTTTTTTTAATACTAGAAGGTACTCTTGCAATGTCAAGTTTTTATCCCTGAATCAAACTGCACTGAAATAGCCTACTGCATTTCAGAAATAAAGTGCTTGAACTCACCCAGAGATGTCAGCTCCTTGCAGCCCACTATACAGCTGTAATTTTGCAAAGGAAATTTCAAACTAAACCGCAGCTAGTTGAAAACTACTGCTTACATTGAACATTTCTCAGAAGTGTCTTTTTATTTCTGTTTTTTTCATTGCCAATTCAAATCTTATTTGAATCCATTGGAATGCAGTTAAATATTAAAAAAATATCTGGGTTTGCCTAAGGTTAACACTTGCTGACTCCTCGAGCACACTGATGCAAGTTAATTCCCTCACAGGTCAGTTGCTGAAACTGTATGTTCTGAATACAATGTCAGTAGAGTTACTCAGATGAAAGGCAATTCAATTAATGTGCTCAACTTTTCAGGAAAGCAAATTAAAAGCACTCAAAATAAAAATTCCATCTGCACAGCTGTAGAAGGAGTAAACTACGACGTCTGGAAAGCTGGAAAGAAATGAAATGAAAGTCTTCATTTAGCATATCTATGCTTGTAGCAAAGATCTAACTCACATTCAAACTTATGATCTATTTCTTCTCACTAATAAGCTCTGATTTTAATTCGAACCAAGCAGAAAGACACCACTGAATATACTAACACAGTGAAATACAGAAACTTTTAGGATGGAAGGGATCTCTGGAGATGATTAATCCCATCCTTTACTCAAAGTAGGGCTAACTACAGCAGGTTGCTTATGGTTGCATCCAGCTGGGTTTTCAGTATCTTGCAGCACAACTTCTCTGGGCAGCCTATTCCATTGCTTGACTACTGCCATAGTGTTTGGGATTCTTTTTCCTTTCTTTTCCCAGAAAAGTTTGCCTGACTCCAAACCTTCTAATCTCTAAATTAAGAAGTACCAGATCTCAACTTTTCCTCATTTTCAGATGCCCTAAAAGCCCTTCTGTGGCCCATCATAGAGCCACTCCAGGATGTTCAACTAATACTTAATGAAAGTAATTTTTAAATGTTTTTTCCCTCCTCTTCTCCTTTTGAGATCTGTTCAAGAAGCTCTGAACACAGTTGTTCTGAAGTAAATTAAAGATATAAATTACTGGACCTTTGTGTGATATTCATCCACTTATCCTGGATGCCAGATCAATGTCACTTACAAGCACTAAGTTCCATCTCGGCAGGCAACTTTTGTCGGGTAGATGAAAATTTGAGATTGTTCTCAGAAAAAGATTCAAGTGATCAGTTTAAATTTAAGAGCAATACCCACAACATAATATTGCTAGCATTATGCTACAACTACACAAAATTATTTTCATCTCTTAGCTATATCACTGAAACTGCACTTTAAGACTTCTATCATCTTGCTATTTCATACACAAAAACATAAATTTATTAGTTAGAGAAAAAAAAAAAAAAAAAAATCACTCCTGTCTACCAGTGATGTCATTCCCTTTCCAGTAAGTATAGTTTTGGAGAATAGAGAGATTGTAAGGCACTTGGGAAAGCTCTAATTAGAAATCAGGTCAACTGTAAAATAACCACAGCTTCCACTGGCACCTAAAATAAGACAGCAAACAAAAGGCTAGAATAAATCCAATACAACATCTCTCCTATACTCACTGTAACAACATGCACTATTGTCTAACTAAATAAGTAATTCACAAGAGCAGAAACGGAACTCCTGCTCTTTAAATGTTATTCCTGCACTCATTTCTTTCTGGAACTTTCTGAAAGTTTCTACTTTTCTACTTCAATAAGCTTTGTATCTCTTGGTACCACAGTAAGTTGGGCAGTCTGAATAGAAAGAAATAGCAGCAATTACTTTGAGAAGTTTGGCTCGCTTCCATGATGGAAAGAATGTGCATGCTCAGCACTAGAACTTCCCCAAGCTCATCTTGGCTACCTCAGAAAGATTTTCTCACTGTTGCAGAGGCAGTCAACTCAGTCAGTAGCTGCTCTGAAAGGTAAGGAAGACCTTCAACTTGAGACAAATCCCAACCTTTCTGCAACAAGTATACAGCTGAAGAAAGAGACAACAGAATTCCTGTTCATGAGGTGACATCTGACCGGGCGCACTGGGAGCGGGGGCTGTTGATGAAGGTTTGTGTGGTGGATTTCCTAGAGATAATCTTGCTTGTTCCAAAAGGTCCGTCAGGGGAAACATTTAGTTGCAATACCAACATGAAATTACCACTGTATAGCCGAAGGAAAGAATACAGAATACAGCCATTACTGCAATACACGTTTAGGGCCAAGCTCTGCTCTTCTGCTACCGGCTTTCAGTCTGAAGTCATTGGAAACACCATTTTCTCCATGTGTTTTGCAAATAGAAATCTGTCATTTTTTCCTCCCGTCAAGCTTTTTTCCTTAAACTGCTAAGTACCGGGATCTTAAATTGTCTATCCTTAAAAAACCATTTTGTTTACCATTTCAGTTCCTTTAATACGGCACACTTTAGTGAATTAAGTATTTCAAAGACAACCACTCTACCATTTGCACAACAAGAGAGAGGTCCTGGTTCTAGCATATTTCAAATTATTTATCCAAAGAAAAATATATAAACGTTTAATGTACAAATTTTCACTTTAAAAATAAAAAGTGGAATTTACTACCTGAGCACTAAGCTTCCAGAATGATTCTCTTTCACAACAAATTCTGATTTACCTTCTGAAATTGCAAAGCATATCTCTATGCTTTTAAATTTAAGGTAAGTCAACATCCTGATTTTTTTTTTCAGCCACTGTCCACTGTTAAATACCCGCATTTAAAGAACCAGAAGGGCGAGCATCAAACAAGCAACCAATGCTCTCAGCACATTTAGACAAGAGTGCTTCACACCACTTACTACGATGGTAAGGCCCTTTTTAAATAAACGCGTGACTCACTGTTTGTTTTCTTCACCAGGAGGTGGAGTCTTGCCATGCCCCTCCATTACAAAATCCTCATGTTCCATCTGCAAAGGCAAGCATTGCAGGTCAGAATTGGTGGAGCAAAACGCACATCACCTAAAGTGGCTCTTGTCCATATGCAACAACTTAAGGCAGCCACTTTATCAGAGCAACTGGTCCAGAACAGACCACGTAGTTTCTTAGCAACACAGGTTCATCTCCATCCCCATTGCTATGGTATCATTTGCTTGCACAACTCTCAGAAAATCTTGCAAGGGAAGAAGAATGATTTAATGGCTACAGCAGAAGACTTATCAGTCATTTTACAGACACCCTTCATTATTCTGAGTAAGGAGGGCTTCTGTCATTTCTCGTGTGTAACGTAAGAATCAAAAAAAAAGCAAAACAAACCCACATTTGTCTAAACACGATCCCTCAACAAAGTTTGCTTTTTCTTGTAAAAAAAACCTAATTAACTACAGATAGAAACTGCTGTAAAAACAGACTACTTGTTGTAAAAATACATTTTTATACAAAAAAGACTTTCACTGCACATATCTAGCTTAGTTAGCAGGGTAAAAACAGAGGCCTGAAGGAACCTCAAATAAATGCTGTTCCAATGACAACATAAGGTAGGCATTTCCTTTGGCTCACATGATAAAAGATTCCAAGGGCACTAAGGAAGTTTTCTGTTTAATTGTTTGCTCTTTAAATACAATTTTAGCCCACATTTTCAGTAATTTCTTCATCGAAAAAGACGAATTGCATTGTATTTGTTCATTAATTATGCACACTTCATTTAATTACTTCATTCAGCCAGAAGCTCTTGCAAAGGTAGCAGAATATTCTTCTCTTTCTACAGAAATTTGACGCATGCACTTAGTATTTTATAGAAACATCCAGGCATGGTTAGCAGTGCTCTACTTTATATGAAGTCAGCAAGCAGCCACAGTGCAGTGTTCAACAAGCTGTACGGAAATAAAGCAAATAAATCCTGATCACACACGAATCCATGATCCACTACGTTACACTAGGAATGGAAAGGAAAGGAGGGCACTATTCTGTCTGTAAAGATAACATAATTTAGTTACTCCTTTAAGGATAAAAACATCAACAAACAAACACACACACACACACACAAACCCACAAATCAACCAACAGCCACTACCCTAGCCTTTCCCTAGTGCCCCTTCCCTAAGAAGAGACAACTTCTACTCATTTCTGTCTTAATCACATTGACAAGTGAACAGTGCTGACAAAAAACCCATCATCTGCACAGTATCATCTAACAAGGATAACAGAAATTACGTTTTTCTCCTGCACAAACACAGTCCTAAGTAAACACCAACTGAACTGAGAAACTGAGAACAATATGCTGGTAACAACATCCAGAAGACAGCCGATCAAGTAAGCATAAGGTATTTTCACATTTGTAAACACGTACCTATGCAACCCGGAGTCAAAACAGTAATTTTGTTTTAAAGCATAGTTTGAAAGCAAAAAAGAAACGTGCAAACAACTTGCAAACAATTTAGTGAACAACTTGCACTTTTATGCACGTATTCCCACCACAACAAACACATTCAAATCCGGCTGTACCTCAGCCTACTCTTGCTTCTCAAGAATTCTAACATCTGCTCTCAAACTGTCATGTGAAAGGTATTCCACCAGTTGAACTGTTGCAAATTTAAAAATAAAAAAGATGGGATAACAGATTTGTGCATGCCAAAACAGGATGGTTCTGCAGTGAGGGTAAAGTGGTTGGTAAGTTACTCTTACACAACCTGAAATCAGGAGGTATTCTCACATGAATTACTCTGTTTAGCATATTCTATGTTCAGCTGAGTTGATTAATGCCTCTTGGTGTGAAATGAGTACAGTTCACATGAACGGTAAGCAAGGGAATGGTTTGTGGGCAATGCCAGGAGGAAGGATGAAATGTAATGTTTGGGAGTAAAAGAGAATGAGATACGCAACGTCTAACGCCAAACTGAGAAGGCTCCCACACAAAATAGAAATTCAGCTTAACCAAGCTGTAGAAAAGAAGAATTTGTAAAAATTCAGGCATAAAAATAGAAAGCCTTTAAAACCAACAGAAATTTAGAATGGGATGTGAACTTATTTTATTAGATCATAAAGAAGAAATCTGAAGGAGAACTCAAACATTAGATCACCATCAAAACAAGGCAATTGCCAAAGTATTGCCAATAAAACTGCTGCTTTACTACAAATGTAAAGTAAATTATGCTGCTAGCAGAGCTATTTGAGAACATTTTTATCTAGCACGCATATCTATCAAAATTACCATTTCAAAGAGAAGAGCAGGCAAATAATTAAGAACTACAAATCACCTGGGCTTCAGACAACATTCTTGTAGGTCCAGATCCAACCTGTTTTAAAGCAATTGAAAAAAAAAAGAAAACCCAAATCTACTTTGAATGTGAATCAGTAGCTTTACTTCAGACACTAGGTAGAATTATCTGAAATAATCTGCATTATTAAAAAAAAGGCTAGTGGTAGGCCTCCTAAACAAAGGCAATGGCAAAGTCTTACAAGAACTTCACCAAGAAAATCAAAGAGCAAGAAAGTAGTCATGAACATAGGAATTGTTGAATGCATGAAATAAAGATTAATTGGTAGCTAACAAAAAAAAAAGCTAACAATGAAACGCCTCAGGACACTAGAAGAAGACATGGGAACTTTGAGAAATTGAATACCAGGGAACTGGAAAACTGATAGAATGGATGACTGTTAAAAACACAGTTGGGTGGTCAGAGGAGCACAGCTGGAGACAGGCTATCTAGAGGCTGGCAAAAGGTGGCATGCTGCAGAGGTTTGTCCTAGGAAAGATCTTTACATCTTTACCAGTGACTTGAAGGGCCAACGTGGTCAACTCTGAGGTGGTCAGGCTCAGTCAACATGGCTCAGGGGCAGGGCTGCCATTCAGAGGGGCAGCCTGGAGAAACAGAGCAACAGGAGCAGTAAATTCAGACAGGACAGCTGCAAACAGCACACCTGAGAGACCCTGGCAAGGACAACAGCTGAAGAATGACAGGCTAGGAAGCAGCTCTGTGGAAAAGGTCTTGGCAGGCAGCAAACAGATCATTAGCCAGCAGCGTGCCCAGGCTGGAAAGGCCAACCGTACCCCAGGCTGTATTAATACAAACCTTGCCAGTAGATGAGGGAATTGATTATTCCCTCTACTTAGCGCTCAGCAGACCATATCTGGAACAGTGCACCAACTTAGGGGCCCCACAAGAAAACATTCCCACAAAGTGGGCTGGCTAGCTTTTACAGTAGAGACCGCTGAGATGCTTGGTCCTGCAGCACCTGTCCTGCGAGGAAAGACCGAGGGCTCTGAGCTTGTTCAGCTTGGAGATGGTTTTGGGGTGCCTGCCTACAAGGAGGTCAGCAAGGAGCCAGGCTCACCGCAGTGGGGAATGGTGGGTGAAACAAGGAGCGCAGGTTCAAACAACTCTAAGAACAGGAGCTCTGGGCAAAGTAATGTCTGAGTCAGAGGAAAGATTGTATGTGAATAAAGCCCAGATCTGCATTAACACAAAGCAGCGTATGACCAATGCACACACAGTTTGACAGTGTTGTAATAAACAGCACTTCTTCAATTTAAACAAAACATTCTCACAGAAGCAACATAAAAGGATATAGTCATTTGTAACCTATAGTAATTAATAAGCAATTTGTTGTACAAACATAACTTGCAACGCTGAATTTTTGAAGTCCTTGTTGACTGTACATTTTTACCTGTCCATATAAATATATAGATTTGAGTACTGGAGGATGACAAAACATAAACAGTCCAAGCTCTTCTGTTTCTGACAAGATCATCTTTGTGCAGTGAAAGGGACAGGGCTCTGAGAAACGTGATTTAATGAAAAGTGTCCCTGCCTGCAGCAAGGCTGTAGAACCAGATCATCTCTAAAGGCTCCTTTCAACAAAAACCATTCTGTGATTCTATGCATCAGGCTATTCCATAGGTCTGATCCAGCTTAGCCTCTTTTCACAGAACCTGACTGCTTCTTGAACCTGCTTCACCAAGAGCAAGTCGGGCCTGATAAACTGGGTGGCCTTTTATGATGGAGTTAAAGGCCAGGTTGGATGGGGCCCTGGGCAGCCTGGGCTAGTATTGAATGGGGAGGTTGGTGGCCCTGCATGTGGCAGGGGGTTGGAGATTCAGGATCCTTGAGGTCCCTTCCAACCCTGGCCATTCTGTGATTCTGTAAAGCATCTGCAGATAAAAGAGCAATGACTTCATCTACCTGGACTTGTGCAAAGCATTTGACACCGTCTTGCGTGACATCCTGGTCACCAAATTGGAGAAAAATAGATTTGATGGATGGACCATTTTCTGGATAAAGAATTGGCTGGATGCTCATGCTCAGAGAGTTGTGGTCAATAGCTCAGTGTCCAAGAGAAGCCCGTAGATGACCGGTGTTCCTCAGGGAACAGTGCTGGAACCAGTGTTATTTAACCTTTGTAGACAACACGGACAGTGAGACCCTCAGCAAGTTTGCAGCCAACACCAGGCTGTGGTGCAGTTGACACACTGAAGGGAAGGGATGCTATCCAGAGGGATACGAACAGGCTTGAGAGATGGGCCCACGCCAACCTCATGACGTTCAGCAAGGCCAAGTGCAAGGTCCTGCCCCTGGGTTGGGGTAATCCCAAGCACAGTTACAGGTTGGGCAGAGAACGTCTTGAGAGCAGCCCTGAGGAAAAGGATTTGGGAGTGCCAGTTGATGAAAGAATCAACATGAGCTGGCCATGTGCACTTGTAGCGCAGAAGGCCAACTGTATCGTGGGTTGCATCAAGAGAAGTGTGACCAGCAGGTAGAGGGAGGTGACTGCCTCTCTACTCTTTTCTCACGTACCCCACTTGGAGAACTCCGTCCTTCTTGAGTTGGGGGCTTCAGAACTGGACATGGAGCTATTGGAGTGGGTCCAGAGGAGGGCCACGAAGATGATCAGAGGGTTGGAGCACCTCCCTAAGAGGACAGGCTGAGAGGGCTGGGGCACTTCAGCCTGGATAAGAGAAGGCTCTGGGGGG